AGAGTTGCTAAATCCATTCAAGAAGGTCAGGGGGATAAACAGAAGTTAGCATTCAAAGTCAAGTCCAGCCATTCTGATGACAGTCAAATCCTTTGCTTTGTTTAAGACCCTTTGTGACTTTCCACCATTTTCTCATGCAGCAAAAAGATTTGTGGCTGCAAATCTAAAGAAAATTCCAAACTACTTGATCTTAAATTGTGCTGAGTATTCTGCAATACTTCTAGAAAACCAAACAGGTGCAAATTTGATAGTGTGCCTTCAATCAAAAAGCTTTCAATAACATGTTTGAAGAATATAAAGAAATTCACTCCCAAGTACTTATCCCGTCTATACCCCACTCACCAACACACACAGTGCACGAATATGGCAGAATAGATAACTTGGCTTCAAATCCGGACTCTGCAATTCACTAGCTATGCAACTATAGACAAGAGAAGTAGTTTACTTAAGCCTCAGTTTCCTCTTCTATCCACTGGGAAAATGGAATACAGCTCAAAGAGAACTTAAAAATAATCTGTCAAGTGTCCAGCATACTTCAAGCATTCATTCAATAAATGGTAGTTATGACAGGGATGGTGGTTCATGCTTGTGATCTTGGCATTTTGCGAAGCAAAGGCAGGAGGATCATTTGAGACCAGGAGTTTGAGGCCAGCCTGGGCAACATAGCAAGGCCCCCCCCAACCAAAAAAAATTAAAATCAGACAAAGAGGGTCTAAGGCAAAAAAAAAAAAAAAAAGGTAGTTATTAACATTTCTTCTAAGTTTTCCAATGAAATGATTAACATTTCATATATAATTATTCAAATCATGTGATGCCAGGCCAAGCGTGGTAGCTCATGCCTATAATCCTAGCATTCTGGGAAGCTAGGCAGGTAGACTGCTTGAGCTCATGAGTTTGAGACCAGCCTAAGCAAGAGCAAGACCCCATCTCTAAAAAATAGCCAGGCATTGTTACGTGAACCTGTAGTTTCAACTACAGGAGAGGCTGACACAAGACAATCCCTTGAGCCCAAGAGTTTGGGGTTGCTGTGAGCTATGGCACCAAGGCGCTCTACCCAGGGTGACAAAGAGAGACTCTGTCTCAAAAAAAAAAAAAAAAAAAATCATGTGGCTCAGTGCCTGTATTTAGTGGTTAGGGCGCTGGCCACATACACCAGGGCTGGAGGGTTTGAACCCAGCCCTGGTCTGCTAATCTGCTAAACAACAATGACAACTGCAACTACAACAACAACTATACACACACACACACACACACACACACACGACACGTATACATAGCCAGGCATTGTGGTGGGTGCCTGTAGTCCCAGCTACTTGGGAGACTGAGGCAAGAGAACTGAGGCAAGAGAATCCCTTAAGCCCAAGAGTTTGAGGTTGCTGGAGTTGTGACATTATAGCACTCTACCCAGGGCGACATGGTGAGACTCTGTCTCAAAAAAAAAAAAAAAATCATGTGATGCTTCAAAACCTAAAGAAAGGTATCTACTATTAATAGTTATTCAAACAGTCTTCAGCCATTTGAAATAAACCCAGGGCAGTTAATTATCCAACATGAAAACAGAAATTGTGATCACACCTGTGATTTTGAGAATCCTTTGATTCTTAGAAGTTGGCTAAGCAAATCATGTTTTGGTGAATGGCTTTTCCAGAGGGGAATCTCATCACCCTATTTCCTTTTTAAAACTTCATCATCCACTGAATTAGGAAAACCATAGAATTCTACAGAGCAAAATGAGTTTCATCAACACCCAAAGCTGCAACGTCTTAGGGACTCACTAACCTAAATGTATAGAGGGGGCAAAAGGCAGAGGGAAAGACCCTTTGTGAAATAGAACCTCAGTCCACAGAAGGCTTTATCCAGCAATAAAGATAAAGTGCTGATTCTATGCTACAAAACACATGAAACTTGGAAACATTATGCTAAATAAAAGAGGCCAGTCACAAATACACATATAAAGTAGATTAGTAAACACCGGAATGGGTGGGAGTTGGGAGTGGGAGCTCATGGGACAGAGTTTCTTTTGAGAAAGATCAAAATGTTCTGCAATTAAATTTGATGATGCTTGCAAAACCTGTGAATCTAATAAAAATCATGAGCTATACACTTTAAAAGGGTAAACTGTATGGCTTATTAATTATATCTCAATAAAGCTGTTTTTAAAAAAATCGAACTCACTGATTAGTGCATCCTTTATTATTTGCGGTCTGGTACAATAGCCTCTCCATTAAAAACTAAAAATAAGTGCTGAGTGCTGTCTTGTACTTAAAGTTATAAAATATCAGGACTATGGAAATATACTTACCTTGCCTTTGCATCTATCATCTCCACTATTTCAACAGCAATCATTTAGATGAACTCCAGTGATAGAAACTGCTCCAAAAAATGCGAAACTAATCTATGCTCAAATTAAATTCTACAGATTGCATTCTTTATTACTCTACAGCAATAACTGTTCTTTCATTTATATCGACCAACTGACCACTTTGTTCGCAATCTTCTTTTGATTACTTGCTACACTGACCTTCAAACAAATGAAGCTCCACTTTCACAGAATGTCTTTGCTCTCCTAAGAAACACAAGAAGTACCTATGTAACAATAACAGGCAAAGAAGTCTTCTCTTCTAAACTGGCTAAGGGGTCTAGAGAAATCGGGCTGATTCACTTGAAGGGAAAGGTTACAGGAAAGAACTAGGAAAAAGAGATAGCCTAGCTCTTTCAGAAGATAAAGAGATAAATTAGAGTATGAGTATGTTAGGTTTTTAGATGGTCTTAAAAACCTAACAAGAGGGCAGCGCCTGTGGCTCAAAGGAGTAGGGCACTGACCCCATATGCTGGAGGTGGTGGGTTCAAGCCCAGCCCTGGCCAAAAACTACAAAATAAATAAATAAATAAATAAAATAAAAACCTAACAAGATTAAGAAATCTGTTATATAGAATATTTTTACTAATTGCAAAGCACACCTGTATTTCAGGTTTAAAGCTTTTGTTCCTAAGTTTAGAAATGATTATCACCATGCCACTTGTAATATTATTAGTAACAATTTGATCATTTCTGCTGAAGCACTTAAAAAAGACACTCCAGGATAAACTGCTGTCCCAGCATTGTAGTTCAAATTTCATACCTAATTCTTTTAGACAGTTGTCTTAATTTAACAATTATCCCTCCTCTGGGCTAAATCTTTTCAAAACAAATGTTATGACTCCGAGCCTGTAACTCAAGCGTCTAAGGCACCAGCAACATACACTGGAGCTGGCGGGTTTGAATCCAGCCCAGGCCTGCCAAACAACAATGACAACTACAACCAAAAACTAGCCAGGCGTTGTGGTGGGCGCCTATAATCCCAGCTACTTGGGAGGCTGAGGCAAGAGAATTGCTTAAGCCCAAGAGTTGGAGGTTGCTGTGAGCTGTGACACCAGGGCACTCTACCCAGGGTGACAGCTTGAGGCTCTGTCTCAAAACAAACACACAAACAAATGTTACTTATGAGATGACAATGTCATATCACTTGACTTTTACTATGGACTCATATACAGATGACTTGGACTTACCATATGAACAATGAGCCAATATAGTCAACTAGATAGTTTAAAAAGTAGTTATTAACCTTAGTCTTAGCCTGCATGTTACAAAATAGTATCTTGATAGAATTCCCTATTGTACTACTGTCTTGTGTAACTATTGCAAAAGTTGACAAACAAGTTTTCGCAAGCTGACAGCCACGAAAGAACTAGGGCAAGTCAACTGTGAAATCATACATAATCTTGATTACAATCATGTTGAACGCACCACTTTCTTTTTCAGAGAAAATCAAAAGATAACAGGTGATTCTGAAATATAAGTATGATATTGTTAAAAGTGGCCTCACAGAATGAAAAGATCTCACAAATATGTCCATTACTACTTGAGATGTTTCTCTTAATGTTTATGACATAAACTCAAAAGGTTAACTTACTATGCCTTCCCTACTGTTTGCATATTTTTGAATAAACAAATAACACGGAGTAACATTATTCATGTATCTTACTGAAGGCTAGCCTGCAAGCTATGCCTAACCACCACCAAATTCAAAAAAATCCTTAGGAAGTGAATATACAATTATAAAATATAAAAATAAATAATCACATCAGAGAGCGAACACAAGCATATGATAAGCAATTGCTTAATTAAAAAACAAAAGGCAAAGAGAAGAAAAGTAAAGCAAAGAAGTAAACAAAAAAGGCAGAAAAAGAAAAGAAGTGAGTGCAAAACTTCCCTGCGGGTAATTTTCCCAGTTTCTCCAGTCTGACCTTTGTCCTCCATTTTTAAAATCCTCCGACGACACGGAACAAGATCCATGTGTTTCGCTCATTGTTTGTGGGAATACTTTTTCCTACAAACGTCCTTCTGCAAAAGTGTTTCTGCCTCTTCCATGAGTTATCACCTTGCGGAAGCAATAGTTTTTGCTATTCATGGGGACTCCGGAACAGTTTAGTGAGGATTTTCTTTTTACGGGCTTTGTAAATTATATGAAATAGCCCAAATCCATGTAACTGGAGAGGTAAGGTTTCTCAGAGAAAATGACTTTGAAATTCCACTCACCTCAAAAAAGCCAACACAAAATTGTGTATCATTAGCACTGGGACAGTATTCACATCAAGCGAAAAACTTTAATTTAAAAACATTCACAAGGGGCTAATCGCGTGTGACCAAGGAAGCTGCAAGGCGACTGATTCCGGGCCACGAACCCGGAATGGCTTAAGGAACGTAAGCTCCAGGGACTTAAGTTTTCTCGCGCACCCACCAAGCTGGACTTCATAGATTCCCAGAGTTGAGCCACCAATGTTTTTAGTATTTTAAAATTCTACAAGTAGTTTAAGCAGCCGGAAGATGACTAAGGGAGTCAGTGAGGGTACGCGAGACACAAGAGCCTCAGAGAGGACAGGAGAGCTGGGGAAGGGAAGGCCAAGCGCTGGGCCCGAGCCGCTGCAGGCGAGGTGCCGCGGCGCTACGTTCGACTCACCTGCCCATTCTCCGAGCCTGGGACCGACCCCTTCCTCGTGACCCATGCCCCAGACCCGAAGGGCCGTGAACAGCGAGTAAGAGATGCGCAGGGCCAGGTAGGCCACGGTGCCCGCGCCCACCCAATACAGGAAGCCGGCGGCTGGGAGAGCGCTCGCCATGGCTGTCGAGTAGGCCTCACTACCTTAGTGAATGAAAAAAACGGATGAATGAAACCAGAGGGAGGCGGAGGCGCCGACCGTGACAGAGAGGACGCTACTAATAGGCGCTGCTCTTACACTAGTTTAGACCAAAACCCCGCCCACGACGCCATATCCGTGCTGTCATTGGTGGGCTGTGCATAGTGCGTCAGGCATTGGCTGACTCCAATTTCACTGATCCGCCCACAATCTCCTCCCTTGCGCACCGCGCGGGGCTTCCGTTTTGAGGTGGTGGAGAGCTCATCTGCCAATCAAGCTTCAGTCCCACCCAAGCGCGTCACCACTCACCAGGATTCCTCCAGCCAGCGGCCTGTCTCACCCCACCAAAGTACCCCGGTGTCTCATTGGCTGCAGCCATCCTCGCAACTGCGGAAGACTGCGTTCGATTGGCCATTCATACCCAATCTAGTTTGATCTCTGGTTTGAAGACGGAACGGGATCAGTGATGCCGCACGTGAATGAGGAGGTAGTAGTAAGAAGTGGCGCCTGTGGCTCAGTGGGTAGGGCGCCGGCCCCACAAACCGAGGATAGCAGGTTCCACCCCAGCCGCGGCCAAACTGCAACAAAAAATAGCCAGGCGTTGTGGCGGGCACCCAGCTACTCTAGAGGCCGAGGCAAGAGAATCGCCTAAGCCCAGGAGGTGGAGGTTGCTGTGAGCTGTGACGTCACAGTACTCTACCGAGGGCGATAAAGTGAGAATCAGTCTTAAAAAAAAAAGAAGTGGGCGTGGAGCCTTGGTTTTGTTATCATCTCTTTCATTAAACACTAACGTGTCACCGTACTGTGTGCTGTCATTGTTCCCATAAACTTTTCCGGACAAAGGCTTGCAATCTTCTGTTTCTGTGCCCTCCCCGCCGCTCTCATTGGCTCGGGTTACATTCACTTATTGAGGGCCCTCTAAATGCCGGGCCTTCCATGCTGAGCGTTGAGCAGCACTTAGTTGCCAACGGTTTGAAGTTCATGGCAAATAACTTGATAGAGTCAAATAACTATAATGCACAATAGCGTTAAGAGCTGTAAGATGAGTGAAAAATAGACTAGGAACACAGCTTATCGAACAATTGGTTTTGGGAAGGGAGTCTATCTTGTAATTGTTCCTTAGAGAATTCTCCATAGAGAATTTTACTTTCTTTTTTTTTTAATTTCCATTTTTGGGGAGAAGGGGTTGTGGAATGCAGTTTCGAGTGTCATGAGAACTACCTCAGCAAAGTTCCAGAGGAGAAAGACGACAAGGTAAGTTTAAGAACTGTGTAAGGCAATGAAGTGCTTCACAATTATTCTGTCATCTTCCCTTCAATACTTTTGTTCCCTTTTCTTGCATGTGTTTGAACTCACCTAGCTACCTAAAATTTATTCTTGGCCAGTAAGGCTCCAGATTCAAGATTTGAGAATTGTTGTAAAGCTGTAACTTAAGGGTAATGATTCTAAGGGTAACAATTCAGTGTGTCTTGAAGCTAACTTCATGGTTTTAACATATTTAGGCTGAGCCTTATCTCTTCCTGCCCAATCCCCCTTCTCCCTTATATTATCAATTAGGTCTAACGCTAAGGCTGTAAATGTTCTTCATAACCTGTCAATTGTCGCGCTGAATTTGGCCATGCAAGTTGAGCTGTACAGTGTTTTCTTTTAATTGAATTTGGTACCTTAGACTAGGGCTGCCTCTTCAGTCCCACAACTCTCCCTCAGCTTCTCCCTCTTCCCAATATCATTGCCACAATTTTTTTTTTTTTTTTTTTTTTTTTGGAGACAGAGTTTCAAGCTCTTATATAAATTTGGGGCACCGAGCCTGCCCTCAATTTATATATCCCTGCTCATCACTGCCCACCAAAAATAGTGCCTTCCAGATAGTCAGGCCCATTCTCCTTAGAATTGGGTAGAGGCTCGGCACCTGTAGCTCAAGCAGCTAGGGCCCCAGCCACATATATCTGAACTGGCAGGTTCGAATCCAGCCCCGGCCTGCCAAACAACAATGACAACTACAACCAAGAAATAGCTGGGCGTTGTGGCAGGCACCTATAATGCCAGCTACTTGGGAGGCTGAGGCAAGAGAATCACTTAAGCCCAAGAGTCAGAGGTTGCTGTGAACGGTGACACTACAGTACTCGACCCAGGGCAACAACTTGAGACTCTGTCTCAAAAAAGAGAGAGAGAGAATAGGGTATAAGAAGAGAATTATTATAAATTGACAATATATATTTTTGTTTTGTTTGTAAGTCAGTGGCCCCCACTAGAATCTATGATTACTGGGGGCATTAGGCTATGAATCCACAGGACCTAGAACAATACCTGGAACCTGACAATAAGTAGAAGTGAAGATTCATTCATTCAACAAATATTATTGTGGTCTAACTATGTGCCAATCACTGAACTAGATATGGAGTATACAATAGTAACCAAATAGTCAATTCTCAGTTCTTATCCTTCTCTACCATTCAGCAGTGGGTGGCCACTGTTTTCTCACCAGCTGCTCCTTCTCAGAGTCTTTGCTGCTCCCTCCTCTTACCTCTAAATCAGGGGTCCTCAAACTCTTTAAACAGGGGGCCAGTTCACTGTACCTCAGACTGTTGGAGAGCCGGACCGCAGGCCCCGAGATGAGTCGGCTGCTAAGCTGGATAGGCAGCCGCGGCAAAAACACCCGGCGGGCTGGATTACTGTCCTAGGCTGGCTGCATGTGGCCCGGGGGCCATAGTTTGAGGAAACCTGCTTAAATGATGCAATACCCTTGGGCTTAGATCCCAGCTCTCTTTACTTCTCTAAACAGTCCCTGTATGTGATTTTACCAGCCCTTTGGTAAGCTTATGTCTTCCAAATGTCTCTTTGTCCAGGCTCACTTTTCGCTTAGAGGTCCAGACTCCTATGCAGTGTGTGTGTGTGTGTGTGTGTGTGTGTGTGAGATATAAGTATCTCCACCTGCCTACTCACATCTCCACTCAGATGTAAAATATATATCTCAAAAGTAACATATTCAAAGTAGAATTATATGGCTCGGCACCCGTAGCACCATGGTTATGGCACCAGCCACATGCACCCAGGCTGGTGGGTTTGTGCATGGCTGGGCCAGCTAAACAACAATGACAACTGCAACAAGAAAATAGGCGGGCACTGTGGTGGGTACCTATAGTCCCAGCTACTTGGGAGGCTGAGGCAAGAGAATTGCTTGAGCCCAAGAGTTTGAGATTGCTGAGAGCCATGACACCACAGCACTCTACTGAGGGTAACATAGTAAGACTCTGTCTCAAAAACGAAAAAAAATAGAACTCAACCCCCAACATACACACATCCTCTTTTCTTTCCCATTATTGTTAATGGACCCACCATTTACACCCTTCTAAGACAGAAAGCCTAGGGATCAACCGTGATTTTTTCCTTTCCGTTACATTCCATAACCAATTCTTCAGCAAGTTTTGATCTCTCTATTTCCAAAATATATCTTGACTACGTCTACCTCTCTCTGCTACTTCCCTAATTCAAATCACAAGTATTTCTAATCTGGAATATGGCAATAGCCTAACTGGTCTTCCTGAAGCCTGCTTTGCGTTTGTTTTCCACGCAGTAACTAGAGTATTTATTTATTTATTTGAGACAGAGTCTCACTATGTTGCCCTGGGTAGAGTGTCATGGCATCACAGCTCACAGCAATCTCCAACTCTTGGGCTTAGGCAATTGTCTTGCCTCACCCTCCCAAGTAGCTGGGACTACAGGCGCCCGCCCCAACACTCGGATATTTTTTGGTTGTAGTTGTCATTGCTGTTTGGCAGGCCCGGACTGGATTCAAACCCGACAACTCCAGTATATGTGGTTGGCGCCCTAGCTGCCGAGCCAGAAGATGGAGACTTTTTTTTTTTTTTGAGATAGAGTCTCACTGTGTCATAGAGTATTTATTTTTAAAAAGTAAATGAGAGGGCAGAGCCTGTGACTCAAAAGAGTAGGGTGCCCGCCCCATATACCGGAGGTGGTAGGTTCACCCTGTGCTCACTTGATCACAACCACATCTACTTGTATGTTTTTGGGTTTTTGTTTTTGTTTTTTGTTTTTTTTTTTTGAGCCAGTGTTTTACTCTGTTGTCCAGGCTAGAGTGCCATGGCATCAGTCTAGCCCACAGCAACCTCAAATTCCTGGGTTCAAGCAATCCTCCTGCCTCAGCCCACTGAGTAGCTGGAACTGCAGCCATCCACCACAACTACGCCTCGCTAATTTTTCCTTTTTTATTTTTAAAGTAAAGACAGAGTCTTGCTCTTGTTCAGGCTGGTCTTAACACTCCTGAGCTCAACTGATCCTCCCACCTCAGCCTCCCAGAGTGCTAGGTGGGATTATACATGTGAGCCACCCTGCCACCCACACTGGTAATCCGCCAGCCTCGACTTTCCAGAGTGCTAGAACTACTGGTGTGAGCCATCACGCCTGGCCTTGGAACCAGATTCTAATTCTACCTCTTAGTATGATCTTGTGTAGATTTAAGCATTCAAACTCTACAATCGTAAAGTGAGAATAATGCTACTTAAACATTTAGCAGTGATTGGCAGATACTAAGTATTCAATGAGTTAGGTACTACTCTTACCCCCATTTTACAGATGAGGAAACTGAGGCTTAAACCATTTAAGTAACTTTCACATAGACAGTAAGTGGCAGAATTGAGATGTGAATCAGGTGTGTCTACAAAATCATGTCTCTAGAACCAGCTCAGAGGAGGCAGCATTTAAAAAATAGCTAAAGGAGAGTAAACAAGTCTCTAGAAACATTTTACACAAATAACATAGACACAACAACACTGGATTTTAGTATTTATTAAAAATACTTAGTTCAGAATAGTCTCTAATATAAAAACAGATATAAAATGGAAAATATAAAAAATGAAGCATAATATGGGATGACATTAGTACACAAACATTCCCATGCAATTTGAAATTTATTTTCATTATTTCTGTAAACTGAGTTTCAGATCAGATTTTTGTGACGAAATCACAAATAGTCAATATGATGAAAGAATTAGAGGAATATCATAGAAGCTAGCACTCTGGAATCATTCTTGGTCAATCCCTT